GGGTGAAACCCTGGGTCCCAAACTCACATCAATCCAACCAAATATGTTAGCTCTATCTCTGATATTGAGCGCTTTCTAATAAGTACCAGGCATATAATATATAAATAATAATATATATATATACATATATATATATATATATATATATATATATATATATATATATATATATATATATATATACACTTTTACACACACACACACACATATATATATATATAATTTTAAAGAGAAGAAGCGCAAACATTTTTGGTTATAATGTATTTTTTTTTTAATATGTATTAAAGTATAATATATATTGAAAAAAAATCACATTATAACCAAAATGTTTGTTTCTCTCTTTCTTTAAAATTATATATATATATATATATATATGTGTGTGTGTGTGTGTGTGTGTGTGTGTGTGTGTGTGTGTGTGTGTGTGTTGCAACCTAGGGAAGGTTACTCAATAGAATAACAGTACGAAGGTTGGTAATGAACGATAATATTTAGTACAAGAACAACACATATAAGATTCGCTAGCGGCGCATAGAAGTAGTCAACTGCTAGAAGTGAGTAAATTGAATTCCACAATGAATCTCCAACTGCAGGATATCTACCAACCGGGCCACGTGGTCAGATGTGGCACAAGGCCGAATTTAATGTGGGGTATCCAAGCTCGTAGGGTCGGCCAAAAATTCCCTGTAGACCCCGTATAAAACGGGGACGGTTAGCTGTTTCCAGAGACGAGATTCTGCCCTCGTCTGGGGATCCTCTCTGACCGGAGACGAATCTCCAACTGCAAATACAGTATTTACTACAGTCTTTATGTGAATGGGGACATGCCCATTATTGTCGGTAGGTATGCTACAACAATATATATCTATTGAAGGGTCAAAGACAGTGAGAAATCTGTTCGTGATAGTTATTATCCCAAGCACTATCGCCCAGTTCATTAGCCATTTTTGACATGTTTTGACATATATTGACATATGACAATATTGACATATATTAACACAAATTGACTTATGACAATATATTGACATGTATTGATATATATTGACATATGTATTTAATCTATATGTATTGAAAAATATTATGCAGTAAGCCAATATTGATAAAAGTGTTATGTAATGATCTTTTTAATCTATATTCCTAAAACAGTAAAAACCTAGATATGTGAACCGGTTAAAAGTTCTTGTAAACCTCAACGAGGGGTTGGGCAGGCCTAATTGAAAGCCAATATGGCTCCAACAAAAGAGAAATAAAATTGAAACAATTGAAAGTATCCAAAAACCCATTCAAAAAAGCAATCCACAGTGTATTTAATCTAGTTTGTTTAAGAAGTACTTCATGATTAGTTTATTTACTGCTAAATAAAAACCCAAAGAAAACATCCTTTAAGTGTGCTAATTCCATTATTTAATTTTTGCCAGTTGTAGAACTGAGTTACGAGCCGCAGTCAAATTCTTTCCTCCCCACCCTTTTCAGGCATACCCAAAAGAAATAATAATAATCTTGATTCTGACTCTTGGCCTCAAGTGTTTTAACAAAAACAAAACTACGAAAACTTTGGAAAAACGCAAAAAAAAAAATAATCTAGGAAACGAATAGAAAGTATTGTTTTTAAAAGGCATCAACAGCTGTGTTAATCCGTTTGTTGAACTGATGTTGCGATCATTCTAATAAGTTTTAATCCCATTGGTTAAGTAGGAAGACATTTTTGTTTAGTTGAAAGAAGAACTAACACAGGAAGTACTTAAAGCATTATAAATTAGCCATATAATGACGGAGAGTATAAGATAGAAAACAAATGAAAAAAGCAAATACTT